CCCTCCTCCCCCGTCCAAACTTTGTTATAATCCCAAACTTTTAATATTTATACTTTTTCCCTATTTTCAACTATAAATACCCCCTTATTCTTTTATTTTTCTTATAAAATTATTATCAATCTATTACAATCTCTCTCTAATTTTCTTTATACTTGCTACTATTGCTTAATTTATTCCAAAAAATAGTAACAAAATATTGAGGTTGTTACAATTTGTGAAAAAATTGTGAAGTTGGTGAATTGAAGTCTTTCACGATAATCAGTTTTCAACAAGTTATTCTTCAATTCGGTAAACTCGTTCCAACTCTTAAATTTTAATATTATAGTTTTGTTTGTTTTATTTATTTGCTATTACTTGATTAATTAAGATGGATTCCTCAAAAAATATTTTTGGTAAAAATAAGAATAAGGGAAAATTCAATAGTAGCGAATCTAGTGGTCATGATGTTCCTCCTCCCCTGCCCCCGGCTCCCCAAACCAAATCCCATATCTGTCCTACACCTACTATTTTTGATAGCGATAGTAGTTTATTACAATTTATCGTGAGTCAATTCTGTCATAATATTGCAGTCTGTGAACAATTAAACAATGAATTAATGAATGCTCTTTATTTTAATAATTATAATACTATTGATGAAAATGATGATGGGGGAATTGATCTTGATGAAACTCAACTGGATCTAGTCCTGCTTATAGAATAATTTCTTCACGTCACATAGGGCATTCTATTGCTAGCACAGTTACAGATATTTGCAGATATTTTTGCATTAGTGATAAAATAATGTCGGTTTTAATGGATAATGCTAAGCTACTAATAACACAAATGTTATACACTTGCTTACCACTACGCTAAATCCTGCATTTAGTAACATTTTTCATGTTAGATGTATTTGTCATATTTACCATTTAATTGTGGGTGATGGTATGAGAATTTTAATTATTCAAATTGAAAAGGTTAAAATGGCTCTTAACTGACTTTTTATTCAAACTGTAGAAGTAGACTTAGAGAATATTTTAAAAGATGCGATGAATGTGGACTAAGAGAAAGAAAGGTTCCTAAACCTTGTCCAACTATATGGAATTACATGTATGAAAGTTTGGTTGTTGCATATGAATACAGAAACCCCATAAACTCAACGTTTAATGCACATGTAAGTGATGATGATGAGCACCTTATGAATGAGGACTGAGCTAATGCTAAAATGCTTGTTATTTTTTAGAAAAATTTTATATTGCTACAAATGAATTTTCTGGGCAATATTATCCTACTATTTCTAACTGTTTAGTTTATATGGTAGAACTTGCAAATTTTGTTTGCTCATTTTTCAGAGGGTGGAAAAATTTATAAACTTGCTATTGATTTTATGAGAAAAAAGTTTTAAAAAATATTTTTTCCCTATTCTCCCTATTTATGGTATCGATGCTTTGTTAAATCCTTGTATGAAATTAGGAGGTCCTCAATTTGGTATGAAACTGTTTATAATGGTTTAGCACTTGAAGATGATGAGTTGGCTCAACTTCCGGAAGCAATAGCCTCAATTAGACTAAATGCTCAAACTATTTATAATGCTTATCAAGTTGCATTAAATCATGCTAGACAAATGTTCCAACTCCTTCTTCTTCTGATTCTCAATCATCTAAAAGAACCGCGGGAGTAAGAGCACTTAGTGTTTGGCGAGGTTTAGGGGTTTTCAAGGTTCTAGTAGTAATGATTTTTCACAACTAAGTAAGCTTGAAGTTCATTTGTCGTAGAGAATTGAGGAAGTGAATCTCGACGGCTCCTTTAATCTTTTGCAATGGTGGAAGGACAAAGAAAAACACTTTTCAGTTCTTTCAAGGATGGACCGAGACATTTTAACTATTCAAGCTTCAACAATGGCATCGGAGAGCGCTTTCAGTCAAGCAAAACTTCAAATCGGTGATTATAGAGCGTCTACCAGGGAGAGCTTGGAAAAATCAGTACTTTTCAGAGATTGGATTCGTTCGGAAGAAGAAATTTTGGACTTGCTGAATCACAACCAGACGAAGACGAAACTTACGAAGAAATGCTAGCTGAACTTGCGGAGGATGCTGCTTCGCCCGACAATGGAAGCGGCGATGACCAAGCTACTTTTCCGCCATCATCAACGGAAATTCCTCCAGAACTTGAAGGATTTATGAAGTTTGTAAGAGATACCATGTAACTTGTATGAACAAAAATTAGTATGTATTATGTACCTTGTATTTTGGCACAACTTGATTAGTTTCTTTTTCTTCTCAATGATGGTATTAGCACCTTGTTATGCTCATTCCATAAGGGGAGGAAGACTAAGAAAGATATTGCCATATTTTTTTAATGCTATAATAAAATTACAAGGCATTGCTTTGAAGATCTTTTTACAATATTTTTATCTTTAAATTTGAATTAAAAATTTAGGTCACAATTATATAATAAATTTACAAGGCATTGCCTTAGATATTTTTTAACATCTTTCTATTTAATTTTTTTTTTTAAAAAAATCACTATTTAGCAGTTGGGTAGCCCACTTAGCCCGCGACCCCAACCCGTTAAGCCGAGACCATGAGTTCACAGGGCCGGTCTCGGGCCGGTTCCTACAAAAAAACCGTTTAGCCCGGGACCGATAGACCCGTTTATATAGGGACCGGCCTGGGACGGGGCCCGTTTAGACCAGCCCACTTGGCCCGTTTAGGGCCCGGACCGGCCCACATGCCGCTCCTAATCTAACATAAATACTCACAAAACTTATAAAATTATTGTTTATTATTTACATTATAATAAAAGGTTTCTTTATAGTTTACAGCTTGTTTGGATGGTTGTTACCTATCGTATCGTATCGTATTGTTACTTTAAATACATTTTTTGTTTTGATTGTTACTTAAATTTTATTGTATCGTATCGTTAAATGCGTCGTTACGTAACGATGAAATGTGTTACTTTATGTAACGACCGATTTGGTGTGGTCGCATCGTTTCCTTGTGTTTTGCTCTCAATCTCACCCTTCATTATTATTAAATAATTTTATTTTATCATTTACCTACCTTTTTATATACAGTATCATATTTTTTTTATAATATTACAAGTTTATTCATCATATCAGAGGTGCGTGATACCATGAAACGACGCCAAAACGACACAATCCATCCAAACATTGTATTCATCAAACGATATAATACAATACAATACAATACGATACGATACATTATGAAATGATAAGTAACATGCAAACAAGCTGTTAGGAAAAGTGTCTTCAGTTGAAAGTGTTATGACACGGCAGACAGACACATTTAACAGGAGAACAGTGAACTTAAACATACGAGGATGACAGAGAATGTTATAAGACCAAAGAGTAGTTAGAAAAAATCATCGTATATAGTGTGCAAATACACAAACATCAGAAAATCGCTGTCCATTCTTCTTCATCTTGGCAGCCTTAGATTAGGGTTTTAGAAGGACCAGCTCTAGGGTTGCTGAAAATGGTGGCTGACCAGGCGAAGAAATCAAAGACAAGTGTGGAGGAAAACGCCGATCAAATTGACACTGAGCTTGTTCTCTCCATCGAGAAGCTTCAGGAAGTTCAAGATGAGCTTGAAAAGGTTTAATTCATAACTCTTTATATAATGCATGTTATTTTTTCTGAGCTTTCCTATGAGTCCTTGATTGTGGAATTTAGTGGAGTAATTTTTTTTTTTTTGGCCTTGTGTTTTGAATTGTTACTGCTTTTATATATGCTTCTGCATTATGGGGGTTGTTTTTTTTGTTATTTTTTTTTGTTGCTGATTCACTTGTTCAAGAGTAAGCAAAGACTTTTTTTTTGTTAGCTTTGTGCCCAAACAGAACAAATTGGACTCTTGATTTGACTGATTGTTGCCATTCTCTTTCTTTTATTACTTTTTCCATTCCCATGGTATGCTGTATTAGGATCATTTTTTTTTTTTTTTTGAATTTACTATAAGCTAAGATGTTGTTCGAGAAAATGTAGAGTGGGTAGACTGCTTTAAGTGTAAAGAAGGAAAAAAATCTGAAACTTGTTGTATTTGTTATGTTCCTCTGTAATTGGAAATGATTATTTGGTTAATTATCCTTTTGGATTTTTCTTAACACCGTAAATGACAAAGGGACGCGAAGCCAAGTTGGGAATTCTTTTGCTAGGAGTAGTGTACTTGTAACTTCTTATCGTATAGTGATGGACCGAATGGAACAAAAGAGGGGTCGGGGCTTAGTTGTGGATCCTTTGAGTTGTGATGTTGTAACCAAATGGCAGCCTTTCGAAATTGCTTGCTTTTAATATACTTCACCTTCAAAAGAGTACCTTTTTGGAAAAACTAAGGCGCCTCATCTCTGCAGCTAGATTTTATAATGACGTGTCACTGTTGGTGGTGATCGTATAAATAGGATTACAATAAATTGTCAGAAGCTTGTTAGGGAGTACTATCGGTTAAGCCTAACTCAACCCAAAAGTTAGCTCGTGAGGTGAATGTTGTCCTAGACCATATAAAGAGACTCCATCACATACACTCAACCAATGTGAAATTCTAGCACTTTCTGATTCTCTATGTGTATATTTCCCATCAATTTCTGTCGCCTTCTTCTATTCCTTCCTCAAATTTCCTTTGTCTCGTCTTCCATGAACCATAATTCCCTCTTCTCATAGAAATCTGTCAGCTATTATTCGTTGTGGCTTGCTAATCTGCAATCTTTCACCAAATCCACTGGCAGCCACATTCAAAGTGGCAGGGTAACTTTATCTGCTGAAACCCTGGATCCCTCTAATTTACAATGTACTTGTCTTAGAGTGTCTTCGAACCATAAAGATGAGCCATAAAGAAGTATTAAGTGGCTTTGAAATAAACAATTAATGCTGGATCACAGACAGATGAACCACACAATAAAACACGATGTCCTTCTTTATTGAAAATAGTAAGTAACATCTTTTTGGGAAGAGGAGAGGGAATCAGGCGAGCGAAATAAAAGGTGTGAAAAACGAGCAAATCCGACTCATGAACGATTAGGAAGTAAAGGAACAATCTTTTTGTGCCAAATACTGTTATGAGACTGGAGGCTCAAGGGTCGTGACCTATGCTTGCTGATTCAAAAAAGAAAGGCGAAGGGCTTGGAAAAAATTTGACAGAAAAATAGCGAAGACGTATAATGGTAATAAATCATGTAGTGAACTACTTGGATTGCTATATGAAAAATTGCTAAACTGACTCTTTTCTATCTCAATCAGTCCTGATTAGAGCATAGGGACGTGATTGTTAATAACTGATGAATGCTCATTTTCCTATTGGACACAGACACACACATACTTTTTGGGAAATGAATTGGATCTTTGATTGATGCATAATTGTTTAACAGAGCAGGGTATCTGTATCTAGTTCAAATATTAAACGTTACTAGTCTTGAACGAAAATAACTTGGATTCTGTTTCGGTATGTCTGAAATATCAGCAGACTTTGACTCGGCCCTATTCTATTATCCATTTAACAAGTGCCCAACTTTGGGGCATATAATTACAAATTGAGATATTTAGTGTAGACGTTATATTCCGTTCTGTTATATGTGGCACTATTTCCTTATTAGTCCTCCAAAAAGATAGACACCTTTCTGTATTTGGAAAAAATTTAACCTTGCCATATAATTACCTTAATGACATGCTTCTACAGCTACAAAAAACTCATGACATGTTTAAATCCACAAGTTCCAAAAGTCTTTTTTCTGTTTAAACTCCATGCTCAATCAAACTACACCTCATAAATTGAATAGGAGTATTATTTTGTGTTATATTTCCAGCATTTGTCTGTGCTTCTTGGTCCGAACCTTTCAACAAAAAAGCTGTTCTAGAAATACCTAAATCTCATGTTAATGACTTACATATGCTCAATGTGGGAGTACATATACACATCTTTTTTTGGCAAGTACAGATTTTATTCTTTATGGGTCATTGCAATGTATCGCCGTGTCGATAAAGATGGCCTAGCTGGCACGCTCTTATAAACCAAAATAAACCACCAAGGCTGTTCCCTTTAAATGGCTCCGGGTAGCAACTTTTTTGCTATAGGTAAAAGGTTAACATCTTAATCCCCATCATGTTGCCATGGTTAAGTTTGGGCTAGACCCCAATAGTACCACGTCTTTTGCAAGGTTCATTTCAATGTTTTAATCATTTTGTTAAAATGTTTTTTTTCCAAAGATTTTCTTGAAGTCACTGCCAGCCTGCCCAGTTGATATTTCAGATTTGCCAACTAGTCGACAGATATCACACTAACTTTCAGAAGTTTGTTGCCAATCTGGCGGTTATTCTCTTATTTATTTATCTTCCTTTTCTTATCAACATGTCTTTTACTTATTTAATCATGAGTATGATATGAATAATTAATGTAAAAGATTATGCTTCGGATTTCCTGTTACAAGAAAGAATATAAAGTCTCTATTGCTGTAGAATCTATTAATATCATTCAAGATTAATAATGGCTCCTAGAGAGTTACCAAAATACAAAGTTCTTTCCTCCTTTGTTTCTCTTCTTTTCTTTGGCACTTGGTTGGCAGGGTCTGAGCTTTTCGTGATGGGCAAGCGCATGACGATGATTTGAAAATATGGTAATCTGAGTACAATTAAAAAAAAGCTAATGGTTTTGCTGTGGGTTTATGGGTTCATCAACAGTCAGTTTTAAGTGTGGCATCGAAATTTTTAGTTTTTAAACCCGTGTTTCGTGAATCTGCTTTAATATTTCAATGACATGCATTTGGCGGATGAAAAAGCAGTAAAGAATATGCATTAGCAAAATCATTTGCGGTCAACTGACTCAAAAGTATAGGTTTATCCAGTTCTTATTAGCTCTATATCCATATGTATTCTTTGAGAATCTGCTTTCCTTGTGTATTCAACAAAGCATTAGAAAAGAGTTACTGGCTCAACAAAACTGGTTCAAGTACCTATTAATTAATTGAGTAATAACTGCATCCAAATTTGTTTAGTAAATGCTGCAAATAGTTTATGTATAGCTCATGAGCATCCATTTTTGATTGGCACTGTGCAGGTTAATGAACAAGCTAGTGAGGAGGTATTAGAAATTGAACGGAAGTATAATGAGATAAGGAGGCCTGCTTATGAGAAAAGAAATGAGGTCATCAAATCCATTCCTGACTTTTGGTTGACTGCCGTAAGTCCAGTCTATTTCTTTCCAGATTTCAGTTAGCATTCATGTGGTGGAAAATCGAGCAACCTAACTTTTCTATCTGTTAATTAATTTTGTCTATGCAGTTCTTAAGTCACCCTGCACTTAGCGAGCTTTTGAATGAGGAAGATCAGAAGGTTTGACTTGTAATTCAACTTCAATTTGTTGGAGAAACTTACTAGGAGATCTCTTAATTGTTGACCTAGATGTCATCTAGTCCATCATTTTGTGATATTCCCTTAGTTCTGAGCCTGTTGTTAAGTTGCTGTTCTTTGAGATGTCATGCGAGGATGGTATGTTCTTTCCTTGACATTATAATAGCTGCTAAATTAGTAATTGCGACACTCTTCTTCCTTTGATTTAGATCTTCAAGTACTTGGATTCTCTTGACGTGGAGGATTTCAAAGATGTTACATCCGGTTACTCCCTTACTTTTGTAAGTTCTTTTGTCTATAAAACACTCCTCTACCAGAGGTTGCATTAAATATGCATCAATAGCTGGCATCATATCACAGAGTTTGCATAAAGTTGCTGCTGACCGGCTTTCTATTTTTTCTTCAACCTTCAGAAATTCAAACCAAATCCTTACTTTGAAGATACGGAACTTGTTAAGACATATACATTTCTAGATGAAGGAACAACGACGGTAACTGGTACGGCTATTAAGTGGAAGGAAGGCATGGTAATGGCTATACCTGTGTAACTTGTTATGTTAGAACCCTCCATTTCTTCTTCCTTCAGACCCCTCTTCCATGGAAACATGATTAATAGTTGTAATTTGAAGGGTGCGGCTAATGGCGGTACTCCTGAGAAGAAAGGAAACAAGCGGCCACCGTCTGAGGAAAGGTAGTTGTCACTCACTTTTTTGAGATTTATCTGACCTTCTTGGCATGCTAATTCCACGTTTTGAGGTGTGATCCTGATGTTTGTGAACAAAGTGACTCTAAGCAGTTGCAAAGATTTTTTTAGGAAAGCATTGTTGGGAAATAACAAGGTGTACTAAGGAAGTTCTTATTTACTGATTTTTGTTCCATGCATTGCTTGGTTAAATTTTCCAAGATGTTAACATGTAGTCCAACTTCTGATCTGGTGAGAAAAGTATCTTAGATTTTTTTCTTACTGTATATCGTATCACCAATAACCATATGCTGATGGATGCAGCTTTTTTAGTTGGTTTTCTGAAACTCAGCTAAAAGATATTGCAGATGGGCTTAGTGATGAGGTAATTGCTATATTCGACTGCTTGAGACTATTTACTATGTTGCACCCTTATTGCTCATCGTTTGATGAGTTCCTAATTATGGCAATTTATGTAAACGATTGCTGAGATTATTTCATCTTTTGTTATTTTTCCGAATTTCTTATCAGAGACTTAAACATTATATAGTGCAACAAATTTAAGTCTATCCAAAAGCTCAGCTTCTTTCAGGTATTTTATATGTTTCCATGTGACTGCAGGTGGGAGAGATAATTAAGGACGACTTATGGTCCAATCCACTGAAATATTTTAACAATGTAACATGTTACCTTCCTTTCTAGGTTATGTGACGTGATTCCCAACCTTCTTTCTTCTTCAAGCTAAGAGAAACTTGGTGCTTTGTTTGTAGGAAGCTGATGAAGAAGAATCCGATGGAGACGAGGACGATGAAGAGGTAAACATTGATTAGATTATACTACTTTCCTTTTTATAGTTGCTTGATTTGGACCTTCTAGTTTTGTGCTAAGCTTTTCTGACTTGCCTATCAAATCTTCTGATTTTTTGGGGGGGTTTAAATGTACTATGATGTTGTTGCTGTCCTTTGGTGCATTCCTATCTCACTGTTCCTTGTTAAAATTTGAAACCTTTATTCACTAAATAGATGGTGCATAGGTCATGGGTTAGTCATTTAGATCTGAATTTTTATTGCCTTGAATTTTATCAGCCTAGGTACTACTACTCTGAGTCTTGACTCCATACATAACCTTTTCCTTTCAAGATGCTACAGCCAGTATAACACAAGTTTCATAGTGCTAAGTTGCTCAGACACGGGTGCGGGTGTCCGACACGGGTGCGGGTGTCCGACACGGGCGCGGATCTAGAGGCCGGATCCTTCGAGATGTAAATTCTAAGATTCAGGGATATAGATCCTAGTACGTATACGGATGCGAGGATCCAGCTAAAAATAATTCAAAAAAATAAAAAGTATAAAAATATCTCTAAATTATGAGAAATTTTGAGGAATACTTACGTATAGCTTGTAAAGTGTGGTTTTCTTTTTCATTCTCAAGTTGTAGATAAGTAAATGATTGACTTCCTAGATAAGGCATACTATTTTCTTCCCTAGTTTTGGTTCTAATTTCGAGAATCAAATTGTATCTCGTCTCGAATTTCTCCGTTCGTCGTGGTCAAAGTATCGAAAATTGTTTGACCAGATCCGGTACGGATCCCATACCCAAATGCATACTAGTGTCGTGTCGACACTGGTGCGGCACCTAAACTGTCGTGTCGGAGCAACTTAGTCATAGAGTGACATGGAAAATGATGCATTGGTAGTGAAGTTGACTCTGTTAGGATTTCTTCGGAATTAGTGATGAAACGTGGGAATGTCGATGATCAAATTCATAGTTAGTGTGTCAATCGCCGTAGAATGAAAATAAAAGGAAGAGGATTTACACGTGTCTGAAAAGGTGATGGGACTTAGGCAACAGATAAATGAGAGGATTAGTTGAGGGATTAGGGGAAGTAACGTACAATTCTTTTTTCTGCTGAAGTGGGGGAGATATCTACACTTTTAGAGGTAGTTTAGTGCCTTTGCCTCCAGGATATAGAAATTGACTTTTCTCGAACACATATATTCATCTTTTACCGTCAAGAAAGTTGTTAAAGGAAGCGAGTTGGGGTAAATTGGGAGACAAGCCTTTTGGAGTACAATAAATTTAGTCAAAGCTTTAGCAGAAGTCAAAGGTAGGAAATTGCATATGATATTCCTAGTTGTTTATTTGTTTGACTTATCCTAAGGAAACAAGACCTTAGAGAAAACTAGCTCATTACTTCTAACCATAGGTAAATAAATTATGATTTTAGGTGTGCTGAAGGTTTGCTATAGAAATGCCTCTCGTCTATGCATCCTGCAGAAAGGATTTATATGATCCAGACAACAGTCAAATTAGTGATTTTAATCTAAAATTACATCTAACATGTCCACAACTTATCTTATGGGCAGGGTGTTATCTACATAGCCGAGGTTGAAAATGAATTACCTTAAGGAGACTGAAATGAATTGCCTAAATGCTTTATGCTTTTCAGCTGTTGTTGTATATGCTCTAATATGAAAATGCTATGACAGTTGAAGTTTGGTGGTTATAATATCTTATATAATGGGCTTTTCAACTAATTTTTTATTCCTATCAACCAGGGAGACGATGATGAGGAAGATGAGGATGATTGTTGAACTCCTTGTTAGCTCTTTTATTTATCCCTTCTTCCAAACTTTGCTCATATCAGTGTCAAATATAATTTTCAGTTGTTGCATACTCAGCCTCATAGGCAACTTCGACATATGATAAGACAGTTTAAAAACCTATATTGTAGCTAGCCAACTTCTGTTAGATTTATCTGTGATGAATATGGTAGCTGTTTTCGTGCCCCCGAAACTCTTTAATCCCAGCCTCATTTGATTGGCAAGTTGTACTTTTCTTTAGTAAGCATGTGCTCCACATTGTGGTGTTAGGTTAAAAACTGCTCTTTGATCAGTCATTCAGCAGCCACCGGCCACCGGTCACTAGATACAGGAATTCACCTTATTTTCAAACCTGGCGGCTCAGTTGATTCGCGGCTTTCTTCTCATTCCCTTCCCATTTTTCTTATATAGTCCGTTTATCAAGTAATTAATACGCCAGTGCCTACTTGTGATTGGTTGAAAAGCTCCTTCCCTTTTTTGCTGGGAAGAGGTTAGTCTCAAAGCAAATGAAAGCGGTTGATTTGATGTTCTCCCAAAAAAGCCAAACTCCTGTAGGCTTATCTCTTGCATATGAATTTTGCTGATGGGCATGCTTTTGTGGTTTTACTTTTGAACAATTCTTTATTCAAAACTTAAGTAAAGGAGATAGCATTCCAAAACTCTTCTCCTTGTATGATAGAGCGACATTCTGTAGGCAGGGTGATTTTGCTATTTTTTTTTTCGTGTGGAGATGCTTTAAGTTGATAATGAGACCTTTTAGTTTAAAAGAATTCTGAGCCGAGGGTCTATCGGAAACACTCTCTCTGCCCTATACCTCCCCAGACCCCACCTGTGGGATTTTATTGGGTAGTTGTTGTTGTTTGTTAGTTTAAAAAAATCTGCAAAAATTATCCCCAAAAAGAGACTTAAGCCGTCGGTTAAAAACAGATTTTGATTTCGTAAAATCAAACGAAAGTTGAAAGCAATCAGAAAGGGCAAAATCATACTAATGTTAGAAAGAAATAAGTTTTTCGTCGTTCCGTCGTTCTACTTTCTTTCCTTTTTCCCGATCTTCTTCTAATGTCTACTTTAGTTCTTAAGTTCTGCATTATCATTGCTTCATTTTTTGCCTCACTCCAAAACAACATAAACTATGATAAAGTTGTTAAAATATAAGCCCTCCAGAATGTTGGTCTTCTCTGAGAATGAATTTATCAACCCAACAACTCAACAGAGAGTAACTGTAAAATGGTTAGTATTGCTATGAAGTTTAGTTGGTTAAGGACCGCAACTAAATGAAACATAATGAAAAATTACCGTCAAAAATATGTGAATTGGAGGAATACATGGTAATTAATTCCTAAAGTTCTTATTGTGCGAAGCAGAGTGCACTTTTGTGAAAAATTTTCGCCTGTTAATCTTCAGATCTATTACACTGATAATGTACAAAGATATATTTTTCTTAATGTTAAAATATTTATATAATTAATAGTAATTACAGCTAGTAGAAGGAAACTTTTATGTTGGATTGTTGGTAATGGCCATTAGCGAGTGATGACATAAAATGTGCAAAAGAAAATATCTGTCTATTAAGTTAGGGTTAAGAGCATAACAGAGATTTGCAAGACTATTAAGTATTTTTAATATTATTTGTGCAAAACATATGATGGTTAACTATGGCTGGAATACTAATAATTGTAGTTCAATAAAGCGACACGTGTCATCTGTTTATTGGACGGGTGTAAACACCTGGCGCGCCATAAGAAACTATGTCTTCCCGGATCTTCTGATTTTTAAAATACCCAACATCTTAAAATTATATTTTTTTTAATTGCTAGTTTTAAAAATTGTGCAAAAGAAATTTTGGCTTTGCACTTGGTTGTAAATCCTTTTCTGAGTCGATGGTCTATTATAAACATACTTTCTACTTTTACTAGGTAGTATAAGGTATGTGTATACACTACCTTTTTCAGTCCTCACTCGTAAAAAAACACTTCCAAGACTAAGTGATGAAGCTCCATCCAAAAAGTTGAATTACAGAGATTCTTATGCAACGAAAAACGTATAAAGATCATTATGAGGTGAATCATAATGTGTTATGCATGAATAAAAATAGTAAATTTGTTATCTCAATTTAGTTGAATAAAAGTTGTAATAGCGAGATTTTTACGCAATAAAAATATATAAAGATTATTATAAGGTGAATGATATTATTATTTTTATAATAATCTTATAACACTATAAATTAAATTGATAGTATAATTTAGTGTAAATAATAAAAGAAATACTCCTAGGAGTTAATTAATAGCCCATTGGCCAAGGGGCAAAATATCCCAGTCCCAGTTTTCACTTGTCAGCTCTTTATCTACACTTTCCCTCTTCGTCCATAACCATTGAACAAACTCTGCAAAATTGAAGCTTTGCTTCACAAATTAAAAATGCAAGTGATAGTATCATCTAACCAAACAACACCTCCTCTTCACCCTAACCGAAATCAACAACCAACCATTATCACAAACAACTCAGTATATTTGGGCCGTAGAGAGCTCTGCTTCGATAGCATTTCTTCAGCCTGCTCTGCTGATCCCTCTACTCCGCACTCCATTTCCCCTCCTCCTTCTACCGCTTCCACTCCCAGGTACTCTTTGCCCGCATTATATTACATACTGTAGTAGACTTGAAATTAATAAAAGTTGCAGATTGCTCCTCCCTTTTTAATTTCTATGACTGTGTTTAACTGGACACTTAGTTTAAGAAAACAATGCAGATTTATGATAAAACAAGATGAATTTAGTATTTGGAGATTTAATCTCCATATAAAATCCAGCATTATCATGTACAATGTCTGCTTGCTACTTTTTTCCCATTATAGATAGTACCTGCATAAGTTATGCAGAATATTTGTATAAATTTATGCGGGATAGAACTTGGAATAAGAATGTGGGTATTATTAGTATGTGGATTAAAAATACTAGAATGACAAAACAAAACAAACTCTCAGAAGTAAACAAACTTTTATTTTGTTTGAAAAGAAAGACCGCAATTTTATTTATTTGATCAGTAAAAGAAAGGCTTGTTATATGGGCATGTTTGCCCTCACTATTTGCTTAAACTTTTAGATGAGGTAGTTTATAAAAGTCAGCACCTATGTAATTCTAATTTTTCTTGAGGTTCCTATCTAATACTTGTATTATCACTTCATTTCATATTCTTTTCTGTAATGACTATTGTTACAGGGGTAGTGGAGATAATGGCACTCCTTTGGTTGAACAACTACGGAAAAGCTTTCCTTCAGCCACGCGCAGGATGTTGTTAACAAGCTTTTTCATGTATTCATGTTATCATCCTTCAAGGTACTTGTCAGGTTGGCACATTCTAGCTGTTTGTTTCTTTTTCTTTCACTTGTCAACTTTGAAGGCTTTTTCCAGCTTTGAGTTCTGTGTTAGACCTCACAATTAAAGTCACATATCTTTTAGCACATTTGATCACATTAATGAATATATTTGGCATTTTCAGCTCGTTACATTGTATTCTAAAATTAGCAAGATATTCCTTATGTATTGGATTTCCTTCACCCCACGGTTCGGAAATAATGATTGGCTCTATCTATGAAGATTTAGGATTTGTTCATAATGATCAAATTATATTTGGTCTTGTTTCCACCTTTCTGGTCATTCTCAATACAATTTTTAAATATTGGATTTTCCGCTTTTCATGTTCAAAAAAGGAAGTCGCCGCTTTAAAGCAAGCCGCCTAGGTTCTTAAGAAAGATTTTTTGTTTTGTAAAGCGGAATTCTCCTTTGGCTCGATCTTTAATTGAAGTGTAGCATTATGAAGATTCTGTGAGCTTCCCAAAACATAGCTGGTCTCAGTACCATAAAAAAGGAGGGGGGTTTAGGGTATAGTGATGAATCTTTGAAAGTAGTATTAGAATGGAGCTTAAATAGAGTTAAATGGATGTGTAGAGTCTATATATTTACTCCATCCAACTAGAGCTATAATTGATTGATTATAGTAAAAGGAAACTCAACTGTGGGTTTGCAAGTATGCAACTCTGCGTGCCCTCTCCCCCCAAACCCCACCAAGCAAACCCCTGCTTTTGTGTGGTTGGCGACTGAAAAATGCAAAACTTCATAATAGTTTGCTTCATCCTGATCATTAGTTGAATTGTCATCCTTTATGGTTCTAATCATGTAACCTTTTTTTTTAATATACAGCACTTGCTTTGGGGGATCCGTCTGTCACAGTTGAACAAGTTACACCTTCTACTTTTCCTTCCGCAGCACTGTTCCCTTCCGAGGTACAATTTCATCAACTGTTCAACTTATTCTTTATTGTTTTTGTTACATTCTGATATATAGATCATAGATCACAGTTTATTTGATACGTGTCTACTTGGCAGGAAAGAGTTGTCGAGCTCTTTGAGAAGAATACCTACTGTGTTGTCAACATATTTGATGTAACCTTGAGACCTACGCTTAATGTTACTGGTGCAGTCGAGGTAACTTTTGTAGATGTGTGCAAGCATTTACTTTTCCCTTTCAGTGTTATGCTTGTTAAACTTCTTTGGTAGTTTATCTTTGATAATCACTTGGAAGTAAAGATTCTTATGTCCATGGATTTTCAATCTTCATGCATATGGTGCCTCAACCAACTCACATTTTTTGTCCTTCGATTAAGTAATTAATCTGTGTTTGAAAGAAGATATATTCTTTATGTTTAAAAAATGGCAGATTCCTGAAGGAAATGGTTCAGGGGTGATTTGGGACAACGAAGGCCACATTGTTACTAATTACCATGGTAAGATCACTTGAATATGGTACCTGAGTGCATTAGTTATTTGTGTAATATACACCCTGCATCCCAGAAAGAATAAAGGGGTTTGGAGTATGAGAATCAAACTATTTAATTTTTGGTGCGGAAGAGGAAATGAATGTTTCTTAAAGTTGGGGCCTAATAAAGGCTTCATTGTAATTGAATTCTATGACTCAAAAATCAGCTTCAGTTTATTGGATGGGCTATGCAATTCTTGGTTAAACAGTCTTCTTTATATGTCCAGTGATTGGTAACTCCCTCTCTAGAAACCCAAGCCGTGGGGAAGTAGTTGCACGTGTTAATATTCTCGCTGCAGAAGGGTGAGTTGTATTCTATTTTAACGAAGTTCATCGGTTGATGCTTTAGCAGCCATTTTGCATATTCTTAAATGGGATGATGCATTTTCATCCTACTCTCCATCTAATGCCTTGACTCTCT